TACCTGGTCTGAGAGATTCTACAGAAACTGCAACTTTGAATAGACTGCTACTTGCTCTACAAAACGTCTGAGTGTTTTTAGAGATAATTTCTTTGGATAAAAGGTAGTGAGGTGAACTACTTTCTCTAAGTAGCAGCAAGGTGTGTTGGCAAATCATTCCAATGGTAGAATGGTTAACAGGAGTAAGCTTTCATCTTTTTTCCTTGCCCTCTATTATTTCAACTTGATTCTTACCTTGCTCTTCCCAAATAAACAATAAACTTTCTGTATTGTCTGAGACCCAGTAGTATGTTCTAGGAGCATATTAATGTATTGCAATAAAGTTTTACTTTAGTTTCAAGCATATGAAGTACCTTTGGATGCAAATGGATTAAATACTTACTGTTTTTTGAGTCTGAGACAAAAAGGAAGGTCTCATCCCTTGTGTCACAGGAGATGAGAGGATTGTTTTCCGTAGGTATGCGATTCCTAGGAATTAATGTCTAGAGCTCTAACATCCCACTCCATACCTGTGGAAAACCACTTCTTTTGTAATTTTTTAAAGTTTAGGTGTGATTTCAAGTGCAGGTTTCAATGAAGTTCTCAGTACAAGGTAACAGGAAATGCAAAGTGAGTTGAAAAAGTATATTATTATATTTGCATAAAATGCATGATGGGAAAAACTCATAGAAAATTGATCTTTCTCTGAATATCTGCCTAGGGTCTAGAATAATCTTTTCATATATTTGAGTCAGAAGATGCTTTCAAAAATTGATAAATTTAATTTTAATGATTTCTGAGCTCCTAAAATTCCTTTACAAATGTATACACTGCATTTATTCAATATTGTGTGGAAAGTACCCTGTTACAAAAGTACCTTTAGTCCACTGTCAATCTACTTTTCGTCCCTTAAAATCTCAGTGTCAACGGTCCTTATATTTGTAATTCAAGTGTCAGAGGTGTTTGAACCAGAGCGACTCCATCTTGAATAGGGGCTGGGTAAAATAAGGCTGAGACCTACTGGGCTGCATTCACAGGAGGTTAGGCATTCTAAGTCACAGGAAGACATAGGAGGTTGGCACAAGGTACAGGTCACAAAGACCTTACTGATAAAAGGATGTGGTAAAGAAGCCGGCCAAACCCCACCAAAACCAAGATGGCAATGAAAGTTGCCTCTGATTGTCCTCACTGCTCATTATACGCTAATTATATTGCATTAGCATGCTAAAGAAACATTCCCACCAGTACCATGACAGTTTACAAATGCCATGGCAATGTCAGGAAGTTGCCCTATATGGTCTTAAAAGAGGAAGAAACTTCAGTTCTGGGAATTGCCCACTCCTTTCCCAGAAAACTCATGAACAATCCACCCCTTGTTTAGCGTATAATCAAGAAATAACCGCAAAAATAGCCAACCAGTAGCCCTTGGCACTACACTGCCTACAGAGTAACCATTCTTTATTCCTTTACTTTCCTAATAAACTTGCTTTTGAGGGAGAAAAAAGGACAAATCAGTTAGGTAGACAGCTAAGACTAGTCCTTGGAGAAGCAGCCTGCCTGAAAAATCATAGCTACAGGCAAAAATGGAGCAGCCTGGGGAAAACTCAGACTGTAACTGCTGCACTCTTAGAAAGTAAGGCCCAGCACAGAAGCCTTTTGTTCACTGTGTGATTAGTGGGCTCCCAGGAAAAAGTTTCCTGCTTTTTTCTGCTCTGTGGGAACTTCCACAGGGAGGAAAAGGGGCTTACTTAAAACAAACCCACAGTTATACAACAAGAGAAGCTATGCTTTGTGCTTGCCTAGAGACATCCCGTAGCTGCACAGATAGAGGCAGTTATACAGACAGCTTTTCGGATAAGAGAAGTTACTCAAATAGCTACAGAGATGAGAGGAGTTTCTTACGAAAGCTTTTGGATTCAGCTGTAAAAACAGCAACCCACTTGGGCTCCCATCTCTGCTAGAGAGAGCTTTTCTCTTCTGCTTATTAAACTTTTGCTCCAACCTCACCCTTTGTGTCCATGCTCCTTAATTTTCTTGGTTTTGAGACAGTGAGCTCAGATAACACCTTTGACAACAAGACCATTGATCCTGACCTGTTTCACTTTCACTTTACTCTATGGACTCCCCTGAATTCTTTCTTGCATGAGGTCCAAGAATCTTCTTTTGGGGTTTCTATCAGATCCCTTTCCAGTAACAGAAGTGCTTAGGACACAATAATATTGTTTGCATTAAATTGAACTTGACTCATCTGTCTACTGTTTTAAGAATGGTACTCAATATGGGTGGTATTGCATAACAAAAGGTTGAACATTTGCCACACAATGCAGCTCACAAAGCTATCTACATTTGGTTTTGCTTCTGGAGCAGTTTGTAATGTACACAATTCCTTGTACTTTTTATATTTTGATGATAGTGAAGAACATTGACTATGAGTTGAAATTATTTGTAATTAAATGGATTAAATGGCTCTTAAATGGATGTCCAAGAGCTGGACTCTTTAATTGACTTTTGCCTTAGACTCTACTTGCAGTGGTCTTAAATGCAGTCTGCATGCCCTGTTCTATGACTGTGGATCCTGAACCATACCAAACTGGGGGAAACACAGTGGTTAGAGTTGTAGTGGCCCAGGCATTTATGAACATTTATGTTCTTACTCTTCTCCTGAGCCCAAGCAATAGGCCAGTGAGTAAAGAATTATGTTGAGAATCCAGGCAAGAATCTTGATATTTCTACAATGACAGTAGGGATTCCTTGAGAAACCAATTTTCTGTTGGTGGATATTTCTATGAAGAGGATAATATTTCTTCCAGCAGCAGTTTTTTTTTGGTTCTGATTGACCTCAAGAATTGTACAACCACAACTTAGGTGTGTGTGGCCAGTTGAGGAGCTGAGAAACTTAAGCTACCATGTCCTATTCTTAGGTTGCTTTGGCTAGAACCCTCTAGAATTTGTAAAAACACAACGGATAGTATCAGCTTCTGCAGTATTCATGGCATAAGCTGGAGAAAAATTTCTAGGGCCATCTTATCTTGGTAATTGCCAGTAGATGGAGAATATGTCCATATAAAACTGATTATCTTTATTATATGAGAGATGCAGTATGCATCTTATCATTTCCACATATTTAGATAAAACATTTAATTGAAGCATTATCAAAAATATCTTGTTTTTAGCTTTTAAACATATAAATAGACTTAAGTAAAGACTTTGAATGGTTTGGGGACTTTCTGTTAAATGTGGTCAGAATCTTTGCAGAGGTATTTTCTTTGTATCTTAGCTACATTTCATATCTATGTTTCTGAATTTCAACTTTTGCCTGGATCCTGAGATGTAAAGGGCATGCTGTGATAATGTGGGAAACAGAATTTGCTAGCATCTTTTGGGTAATATTAAATGAGCTAAGTGAGACTTTTTCAGTAATAAAATTTGCAAGTGAATGGATATCAGTTTTATCAACATAGTCATATTATTGAAGGAAATGAATGCTCTCTTACCTACTCATAGCTGTGTCTTAGAAGAGTTTATTTTAAAACTGCAACTGTCTATTTCAATGTTGAGAAGTGTCTCAAATGGCCAGATTAGGAGTTCTCCTTCTGACAGCCCCATTGGGATGCCATTCTATCACAGAAGGCTCCCCTTAAGGGGCTTCCTGCCTTCTCAAGGAGATTTCTCTCAGGGTTTAGTGCCAAAGATGAGCAGAGATTGTTCCCAGTGAATTCCCCAAGTTTCCCTTGTTGTTGTTTTGGTGCTGATAGTTTTCATTTATAATTTTCACTGCACATAGGAAGCATTGGCTGCCTGGTAGGCCAAACTTTTTGTATGTATTATGTCACTTAATCTTAACCACAATTCAGTAAGGTTGCTATTATCATCCATGGTTTTAAGAGAAGACTGAAGCTAGGAGAGCTTAAATATGTTGCTCAAAACCATAAAGTCGAAAAATTTCAAAGTGTATTCAGACGTTGGTTTGCATGACCTTGAAGCTCAAATTTTAGCTTCTTCGCTATACTCTTTTATTCAACATCATCAAGCTGTTAAGGTGGGTCTACAATGTTACAGCTAGAGGCTTAAAACAGAAGTATGATCAAATCCCCTTCTGAGGACAGATAGCGCCTTCCTATGGGGACATTAATAGCAGGGTCCTAGGGATTCACAATTGCCCCAGCCAAGTCTCTTTCCTCTTCTTCCCTTTCTAATGATTGGCAAGGAAAGACGGATGAAGGAGCAAAATAACAGTGGAGACTGAAAGAGAAAATACCACTAACTGCTTGGGACAGAATAAGCTAGAAATTCCACAGCACGTGATCAGGTGAAGAAGCAAAGCTTCCGCCCCATATCTATAGTCTGCATTTCTGGGATACCAACCCAGAAAGAAATCACATCCTTAGGCAAGGGTAAAATTAGAAGGAAGAAAAAAGCAGAATATTCCACTTTCTTTATCTTCAGATTTTATCAGAAACCTTAGCCCATCTAGCTGAGTTGGGGTTGTTATGTCTCTACTTGCCTTGGAATTGCAAGGTGGTTCTAGCAAATTTACATTAAAAAATGGTTTTGAATGAAAAATGTTGACAATGCACTTATTTATTATTTACTTTAGAATGTCTTATTTAAAAAATAACCCCCTTTATTGTGTATTCTGCATAGAGTCTCAAAGATGACATGGAAGAAACTTGTTCACACGCATGACATTTGTGGAAAAAGATAGATCAGGTCCTACTTGAAGGCAAAGTTGCTCTCAACAACTTGCCAGATAATTCGTACTAGGAGCTGGTATTAAGCAGAAACAATGTTTGTCGAAAAACAGCCTGATGAGCAAAAGCAATACTATGTCATCCCTTGAGAGAAACCATCATAGCCCATGAAAAGCATGAATTTTCCTCCTCTGTTATTTACATACAAATATTACGTTGTACTCTGTTTGAATTATCCATTTTACTTATGGAAGCTCTAGTAGTGTATATATGTAAATATATACAAACTAGTACACTTTTTTAACATTCTAAATCTTTTTAAGGTCCTAGTTTTAGCTACTTTTGTCAGAAAACAAAAAATTAAACATAATATCTATTATGGAACATAATATTTGAGAAATAGAGATTATTATAAGCAAACATGAAACTTCATCAGAAGGAAACATTAGAACACTTATTTTGGCTTTTGTTTTTTCCCATCTACTGGAGAGATGGGTTGAGTCCACATAACTATAGCCAATAGATCTGAGAGTAAATTCAGTTATTCTGATCCCGACAGCTGTTTTCTAGAAGCATCGCTTTTGGATATCTGGCACATATTTGTGCCTTGTCAGATCGATGAAGAAATACAAATTTTACAATGGAGTCTTCTGGCAGATTGTAGACTCAGGAATACTCAGAAGTCAGCAGCCTAGTTTTTCACTTGTATCTTCATAGATAACTACAAGGGTTATTTGACTAGTTTAATCAATGCTGACAAAAGTTCAAAATGGAGAGCTTCTCGGCATGGGCCATCTGACTTGGCTGTCTACCTAGATCAAGTAAAATGGGTGATTGCCAAATCTCTACTGTGTTTCACAACAAAGAAAATCAGTCAAAGAGGAGAATTGTCTTAGAGAAACTATTTAGAAGATTGACACTTTACAAAGGAAATCTTGACATTTAGCAGAGATCAAAAAGACCAAAATATTGGTGGTAACATTATATAAACACAATCTTCAGGAAAATATTTTTGGGCCATTGTTAATATTTCACATCCAAGTAGCTACACAGGATTGAAAAATAGATGACACACTTCCTTATATGGTCATTTGAGTCTGTCTTGAGATTATGTTTATTGGATCTATTATTTAAAAAAAGTTTAAACTGTTCTGGCAATCAACAAAAACATCTGCCATTTTATTACACTGATTCAAAAGGCATAAGGATTCTGAGCTGAGTTAAAAAAAGAAAATAATATGTGGGGAGCATGCGGTATGGAGAAATCAGTGAGAAATAAAGAGTACATTTTAATGCTTGACTTCCTGCATGGATGAAGTGATGAGCTCATTGACTATTACCTTTTGTGAACACTTAAATAGGAGCAAGAAAATTGCACATTTAAAACTGGGGAACAAACCACTGAAAGCCTAAGAATGAAAAATCCCCTATGATGACTCTTTGGAAGTATTTGCAGTGCATGAGAATCAACCTTTCTACAGCTGACACATGACTGTGGTTTAGATTACCTTTCATGCTGATCTCTTCCCTTGCAGTTATGGAGCTAGATGAAAGAGATGTTATTTTTTCAAACAATACAAAACCAAGAAATGGAGGTGAAAATGATGCCTTAGCCAGATGCTAATTTTAAGGTAAACGTTAAAGATCTAAAATAGAATAATGGATCCATTGCCTTGCAAAGCACTAGAAAGACTCGGACCTTCCGTTCAAGGTGCTTTGATCAGAGGTAGCATTTACTTTATGTGCTTCTATGGTGAACTTAACAAAAGATGGTTTTTCTTTGATGAGGTCGTAAATATTTGCTTGAACACAAAATATTACAGACAGAAGGGTCACCTTTTATGATGACTTTAATTCACATACCACAGTGGGTTTTGGTTCCATTGGCTGTCTTGCACAAACCGGACTCCTCAGTGTGGTATACTCCTTTCCTTCCAAATGCTCCACTTACTTTGGCTGTCCCTCTAATGTGCAGAGCAGAGTGGCCAGAGAGGAAAGAGGTTGGATGACCTAAAAGCAGGCACTTTCTTAGAGAATTAGAGCCTCCTACACATTCTTGAAGCAACCTGCTTCCACATACATGGTGGCTTCTAAGCTTGGTGAAGGTCGGAATGGCATGAGATCCTGTTAGGGCAATGGAGCAGTTTCTGCTTCCAGATTTTCTAGCTGAAAGGAGAGAAAGAGCAAAGACAGTGAACATTTCAGATGTGGTTGCAGCACACATTTATTGAGCATCTTCTGCCCATAGGAACTATACTGAAGACCTTCTCGTATACTTTCACCTGCAAGTTTCAGTTTCTCTTAAATGTCAAGACATTAATCAATCTCTTCAGACATTTTGAATAATCTTCTGGCTCATTATGAATATGCTCTTCATTTGTGTATACTACTGAAAACAACTGTATAGTCATTGTAGAGATATTATTGATACCTTCCTTGAAAAAATACCTTCTAATCGAAACTCTTTCTCCCTCTTTGTTACCCTCTTCCTCCCTCTTTAGCCTCAAATCATTTATGACTTGATCAACATTTTGAAAGAAAAGCAATGCTTTTTTCAGTACTTCTGATCTTCTTTATTTCCAGATGAAGATATTTTTATTTTTACCCAATTCTCAAAATTAATGATATTTTTTCCTGTAACTGATTTGAATTACACCCCACCTGATCGCCACTGTAAAGCTGGCATATGTGTTGAACAGTAACAAAATTTGCTCAGACACATGGAAATGTGACCTGGTATTTTCAGGTAAGGAAAGAGGACTGTGGAAATATAACAAGTTTTGTAATTAACAAATAATTTTTGCTATCATTCATTATAATATTGCTGAGGAGAAAAGCAGATGTTTGTATAATAAGTGTAAAAGGGTAAAAGATCATTTTTAAAAAATTTTATTTTGGTAAATTTGCTTTATCCATGTGCTTTACCATCTGCTTTATCTCTCTATCTCTCTCTCTCTCTCTCTTTCTCTTTCTCTCTCTCTCTGTTTCTCTCTATCTCACACACACACACCCCATCTTTTTAAACCATTTGTTGCTTTACCCTTAAATATTTCAGTACATGTTTTCTAATAACAAAGAATAGGTCAGGCCATTCTCATTTTAGGGAGAGGCAGTCCATCATGGCCAGAAGTGTCCCTGCACACCCTGGCTGACCCTGAGAAATTGTAAGGTCTAACTGTCCTTTGACTCTGATCGTTTCTGTAGCTGGTCACACAGGCAATTAAGTAGGCACAGGTGACCACAGCACTGACCACAATGTGGCTGCTTGCTCCTAGGGGAGGTTGGTTTATTGCTCCCCCACGTGCTGAGACTTAAGCTCTGGGTTCCTCAACTGTGATATGACCCACTATGTGTGTACTGCCATCTGGTCCCATCGTATTGCCTTGTGGGATTTGGGAGTAGGGAAACCGGCACTATTACGCTAAAGCTTCTGCTGTTTGCTGTGCTGTGAGTAGTCAATTGTCTGAGTCTTTTGTCTAATTTTGGCACCTATAGAGTGGCAAAGCAACCTACTTGCTTGCTTAGTCATCTCCTTTGGAATCCTGTTACTTCTTGCCATCTTCTAAGGGGTTGAGATTCTTCCCAAAGTGGCACAAAGTGCAGGGTGCCAAGACAGACAACAACTTTTTGGAAGAATAAAAAGGCAAGAACTCATAAGCTGGGTTCAGGGACATTTGTGAACTCCCTGGGTCTGGTAGCAAATATTCTGGTCCAAATGGTGCAGAAGGTGGGCAGCGAGTGGTCCACCTCTGTCCTATCTGTTGATGAACAAGAGTTGAGCCAATAGATGGAGGCTGAAAAGTGAGGGATAAAATCCAACAAGCTGCCCTGGTTTCTGTTTGCTCTCCTATAGGGTAAAGGACCGAGAGAACATTCCGGGCCCCATTAGGGAGGAAAGCACAACTGTGTCAAGTTGAAAGTTACAATTGTATACACCTGAAGGGCAATGTATTCCCACAGAGAGTACCAAGATGCAGATCCATGGGGAGAGAGAAAGGAAAGAAGTCCAGGGGTGCTTTGATCAGCAGACAGAGGGGCTGTTCGACACTTGGCTGCTGCACTGGTGTAATTAAGTAGTAAGAAAGTTATGTCTTAGAGCATGCAGAACTGAGGCTGTCTCATGTGGGACCCTGTACTTTAAAACACTGTGCAAATTACGTCATTTAGACAGAATCATGTCCCACAATAAGGTTTGCTACCCTGGATTTCTGTTTTAGTGACTACATTATGGCCAATCCCAGAAGATTTTCCTTTCATTTCCTCCCCTCCCCTCCCCCTCCCTTCCCTTCCCTTCCCTTCCCTTCCCTTCTCTTCCCTTCCTTTCCTTTTTTTTCTTTTTTTGAGGCAGAGTCTCATTCTGTCACCCAGGCTAGAGTGCAGTGGCACGATCTTGCCTGATTGCAACCTCCACCTCCCAGATTCAAGCAATTCTTATGCTTCAGCCTCTCAAGTAGCTGGAATTATAAGCATGTGCCACCATGCCCAGCTAATTTTTGTATTTTTAGTAGAGACGGGGTTTCCCATGTTGACCAGGCTGGTCTTGAGCACTTGACCTCAAGTGATCCACACGCCTTGGCCTCCAAAAGTGGTGGGATTACAGGCATGAGGCACCATGCCCAAGTGAAGAAGGTTTTCTTAAGTGAATAAAATCTCATGAAATCCCACAGAGGAATCTATTTAAGGCCTGAGGGCTGAAGCTGCCCTAGACTTGTTCTGTCCTGGACAGAATGACAGCTTTGACAACAAACCCTCACCCAGAGCATGACCAATGCATTTTTAAGATGGCGTTTCTTCCTCCATGGTAGAGGACTCCACTACTTTTCTTGCCTCACTCTGTCACCCAGGCTGGAGTGCAGTGGTACAATCTCAGCTCACCTCAACCTCCACTCCCAGGCTCAAGCAATTTCCCACCTCAGTCTCCCACATAGCTGGGACCACAGACATGCAACACCACACCAGGCTAATTTTTGTATTTTTGGTAGAGACGGGGTTTCACCATGTTGCCCAGGCTGGTCTCGAACTCCTGAGCTCAAGCGGTCTACCCATCTCAGCCTCCCAAAGGGCTGGGATTACAAGCATGAGCCACTGTGCTGCCTTATGTTGCTTTTTGATATCCATGCTCAAATGACTAAGTACTAGGTCCTCCTGAGGGATTGCACTAAGTTCTCTTGAGGTCATTCTCTTGTAAGGACCACACATTTAACTACCCAGATTTGATACAAAAAAAAAAAAAAAAAATGGAAAGGAAGTAACTCTATCCACTGGGCAGGGCTGTTTAGAGCCCTGTTATCTACTACTTTTGTGGCTCCCAGGGCTGAATGTGTAATTGCTATTGGTAATTTACATCCTTGTTCTGTAAATATTCATGATGTCCAGGGGAGATTGTTTTGTTTGGAAGAGCCCTTTGTAGAGAGGGAGAGAAGGATGCATGCACAACTGGACACAACTTGGCTTTGGTTCTCTTCTAAGTTTAAAAAAAAAAAATTCAGAATTCCAGAAGGAGAAAAGGAAACCATAGCCTTGATCAAAGGCTTAAATACAATGTGACTAATGAAAAATGTAGTATCTCAATGTAACAGCTTTGTATGGCCAGTGAAAAAAAGCTAATGGGAATCTGGAGGCTTGTGGTAGATCATTGCCAACTGAATTTTGTTGGTATTATAGTCCTGGCTGTTACAAACATTGTGACTGTAAATGAATCAATTCTCTGTGATTGCACCTGGTGTGCCATTTTGGACTTTGGCCATGTATTTTTCTCAATCCCTTTTGCACCCAAAGATTAAGACCCCTTCCCTGGCTGACCCTCCAAAACATGTTCACTGGGCTGTTGCAGTACTACTTGAATTTCCCTGTTGTTTATCGCCAGTAGGTGAGTCAAAACATGGGACAAGCCTCTCTCTCTTTCTCTCTCTCTCTCTCTTTTTTTTTTTTTTTGCAGAGAAATTGGGCTTACTATGTTGATGATATTCTATTGAAAAGTCTCAATAAAATTAGCCAATGCTAAATCACATGAAGGCCCAGAAAGGCTCTCAATTCTGATAAGATACAGGACCAGCTACCCAAGTCAAAATCTCCAAAACAATGTGGACTAAGACTCAAAAGTTGATCCTAGACTATAAATAAAATATTCTTTGCTCTATGGCTCTCCTAAGAGAAAGGAAGCCTGGCACTTAATTGGACTATTTAGATCTTAGGGATAATACATGCCTTACCTATGCATGCCTCCTGTTGAGTCCTATGTACAAGTTGATTAGAAAGTCTGCCATATATGGCTGGGGACCTAAGCTGCAGGTGACACTTGGGTCAGTGTAGCAGGTTGTTGCAGCAGACCACCCAGGGGGCCCTTTTCAACTCCATGCTTCTGGAAAGGGAAACAATCTCCACCTGGAGGTACCCCTTAGCATTCCGGACTCACTGCTTCCCTGGCACCACTCCCCACTTCATTGGGGAAAGGACACCTTAGACCCTGGAGGTGCTCAGAGGAGGGAAAAATGAATGCTCTTTTTGTCTCTGAATCTCAATCTCTCACTTGGCAAAATGAGAGGCTGGTCCATCAGAGACAAGCAGCAGCTCTGACTGCCAACCTGTACCACTGCTGGATTTATCAGATGAATTTATCATCCTCATCCATGTGCTGTGGGATCAGAAAATCTCCTGTTGGCCTGGTTGGTCCAGAATTATTCTACCGTGCCTGGTGTATCAAAGACAGCTCCCCCAGATGAATCACCCTTTTACCCGCGCAACCACTCAGACAGCTCATACTGATTCATGTGCTTCTCCTGACACCGAGTGCCCTTGAGTCATGCTATGTAGGGCTGTCCAGGTGACAACTACTTGGTGACCCTGCCCGTAGAGCTTAACCAAACCAAGGTCATGGTGATCCAAATCAAGTTATGTGTTCATATGTGGGAGAGAGTGGCCCAGAGGATATCCATCCACTGTCGCATGTGGGGGTTGCTATTTGGTTCATCTTTGAGTTCTTGCAATGATTGGCAATGGCACCACTCTTTGGATTTCATTCCCTTTGTTAGTTCCCTAGGTAAAGAAGGCTATCCTGCCTGAGGGATATGTGGTTTTCTATTCCCATACAGAAGTGTGAGTACTGTTACCCAGCAAGAGCATCCACATTTTAGAGACAGGTCAGGACCCTATTCTTAAGTTTAGCT